CATCAGCATGTTCTTCAGATAGAGAACTCATCATCTTCCTTCTCTTCTGAGCTGTTGTTCATCACCATCTTCATACTTAGTCACCGCGGTCCGACCCCTTTCGGTCTGACAATACGCAGCGCAGCGAGGATGCATCTCGGTTGAATGGCCACACAACCTTCAAAGTGTATCAGTCGACTTTGAAAGGATCCGTATTTGGTATCCCTAGACAAGCTCATATGTGACTATGACATATCCAAAGATTTTCCCATCATATGGCCGCTCGTCATAATCATGGGTCGACCCCCGGGCTCTTCTGTGCTCTGGCTTCTGATAGCTGCCATTTCCCCAGGATCTCGGTACCTAGCCTGAAGCACTTTAGTAATGCCACAAAGTGTATTCAATCTAGACAGTACTGTGAAACTTCTAGTAGATCAGGCTCGGAGCATCTCTGAAGACGCGCTGTAGAGCTCCGCTGATTTTAGTGTACAGATCTTCGCCAACCTCAACTTTGCACATGCTGCCACGATCTTGGCCAACCCCTACTACCGCCTCGTCCTTAGACCCTGTTACACAGCTCGAGCGCGGCACGATCTGTGAAGGCAAGCATAAGTATCACCCCAGTCATTTGAACCTTCGGAATCAGAAACATACGCCAACCTGCTGAGACTTACGGAACTTGACGAGGATGCCTTGGTAGATTCCTGCTTCTGTATACTCATAAGCCGATATAATGGGAACCTGTATCTTCAGTAGCTCGAAGCTGTGGCATAGCTTTGCCAGAAGAGAGTTATTATCGGCCTTGAATGCTTTTCTCCGGGTTAGGGTTCTCTGATGTGATCGAAGAATAAGTTCCAGAACATTCGGGTTTGGCTCAACGTTCGATGGCAGATGGGGTGTTCCTAAATACATGATGCCAGATATGACCTCGGTGACATCGAGATGTCGGAGGATGTGGTCTCGTGTCGAGGGCAAAGCCTTTAATGCATTCGAGCTTGTAACTGTAGTTCAGTATAGCTCTGGGACCTCCTAGGCTGTGGCAGATGAAGAAAAGTGGCTTTCTCTCTCATATACGCTTCATTTTGTTTAATCAGGGAAACGATCAGCTTGTCATTAGAAACAGGGGGGAATACCTCTTTCCCTGAGCATAGCTTGTCCAAGGCAGCTAGCAAGTTTGGACCCTCTTCAGCAATTTGATGGATAAAAAGATGATCGACGAAATTATCCCTGGTTTGGAAGCTCAATATCTGAACCCGACCTTCGCATAGTTCGACAAGATTTTCGACCTACTGACCCGACTCGTTGTTCTAAGCAGATGGGGGTGCTGTGCCTATTCCAGGGACGAGCACGACACTTGGCCATAGAGTCAGGGAGGATCCAATTTCCTGTCGAGATTGATGATATACCCACATTACTTCGCGAGATGTGGCTCTCTCCGCGCCAGGTGTATTCAGAGCGCGCAGTACAGCGTGCTTGTTCGAGTTGGCACCCGAGCGAGTGAGCTATAGTTTTGTGGATATATTGAATGCTAAGGCCCCAGAGAATAGGGCTGGCAACTCTATTCAAGTAGAAGGTGGCGAAGTCATCTGGTGAGGATCAAGGGTTTGGCTCGTATAAGATAGAACAAAGCGGGGGTGACAGAGTTTCAGAAATTGGCACAAGGCCTTGTTGGGCACTCTAGAGATCGGCTCATTATATGTGCTTACTCGTGCCGCATCCCACCGCTTAGCAGCCGGTTCTGCGGAGGGGCGCACTAAGTAAAGATCGGAATCTAGGTATAGCGTGAGCAAAACAGTATATATACGCGCACGCCCTTATGGACGGAGAGATATATGTAGGCCACAATCACGGGCCGTGGTCGGATGCGACTCTATACACCCTGGTTGGCTATGCTGCTGTCTACAGTAGGGTTCTGTACAATGTGCTGTACATGATAACCAGCTAGACGACGACGAGAGACTATCTGACAGATGTTCACGATGGTTGGGGAAAACTTGACGCAGAAAGCATAGTATAGAGAGTCTATATAGCCTCTTGGACCGCAGCGCGCATGTCGCTATCTGTATGCTTGGGAGATAGATGAGGAGATAAGCGTCGTTGGGGGACCCTACTAGTTCGAAGTGTGCGTCGAATCAATACATGTACAAAGGCACCGGCCCCGTTTCCGGCGGCGAACGAACATGGTAATAATTCTCGGTAGTATCCAGTTCATCATAGAGATGAATGCCAACATCGTCGATGCGCACCTTGAACCAATCCTCGGGGTCCATATCGTCCTCGTCGCGACAATCTTCGGGTCGCGGTTCAAGTATCCATCCCTGAATGAGACCTACGTTGCCTTCGTGCAACAGGTCGCCGTCGACCTTGAGAAAGAAATCATGTCTCGAATTTTCCCACCTCCATGTCTCTGGTCGCCAGGGTGGACAGTCCTGGGGCACCCAGGCCTGGAAACGAGCCCGTAACTCGTCATTCGTGGCGCCTTCGAGGGCTGGATCTTCCACAAAGATAAAATCCATGGTATTGATGAGCGGTGGCACGTGCGACGCGGCGACCTGCTTACGCAAGTTCTCTAGTATACGTCGTTTGAGGTCCTCCCAGCGGGTATCGAGCTCTTTGTCGTAGGAGCACCGGTAAACAACCCAACCCCATTTCTTCCCACCATAGAAGTCCTTAATTCTAACTTCGGGCGGAAGCTCGTGCCATTGCAGGCTTGAGAAGTCTGGCGGCTGCTTTTTTATGGTATCGCGTGATGACGATAGGGAGGACATAAGGTATCTTTGGCGGTAGGTACGGGATTCTGGCTGCGTTGCTGCAGAGTAGGTTGATAGTAGGGGTATACGAGGAAGGCGATTTCTATAGCAGCCTCGAGCTCGTTCAAGTCGTGGCCACAGCATGAATGGCCGAGGCCTAAATATAGCCATCGGGAACCGCGATAGCCGTTCTAAGGCGAAACAGGAGCTTAATACGATCAGAAGTCCTCGAGAAGGGGGAAACTGGCCTTCCAGGAAGTGGAAACAAGCTTAGGGGTTCTGTTAATATAGGTAATGTGATGATGAGCCCACCTTACAGCGAGGCTAGGCTCGATTGGGATTCTGCCATTAGCGGTAGAAAGGCGACACCGGAAGGGTGAGAACCCGAAATAGTGAAACCGGAAGGTAAAGGACTCAGAGCACAGGAATCAGAGGAGGGACGCTCTAAGAGAATAGGTTCATGCGATCAAGAACGCATAAATAGAGCCTCAACGGCTATCTCTTTTGTAATAATACAAGGCACTTGAACAACCTTCTCCACAGCGCATCACAGAAAGCGATTTGGCCCGTTTCCAACTGTCGGCGAGGAATCACATGTTCTCTAATTACAGCTGGCTCAAAGCGACCAGTTCGCTGCTCTCCTCACTCGAGAGAATGCCTTCAAATTTCTACTCGTGTGACATTGTGCCAACGTAGCATCACGAAATCTTTAGGTCGCTTGAGCTTCTTAGCAATCTCCGAACAATCCAGGTTCTCCACCACATATGATTGCAGACGGCGGTCGTCAAGCGTCCAGGATCTCCCTCTCTCTTCCATAAAACGACAATGCTGTTGCACCACAGACTCGCACCGATCAAGTACCTTGGTAATCTGCGGCCAATTCATTCCCCTTAATCTCACCTCAGACTCCTCAAGACCCGGGGCTGTAGCGGACTGCTTCTTCATGTTTGTCCTCTTGGGGGCGGCGCGGGGACGCTTGGAAGGAGTCTCGGGTTCTTCACGATCTTCGAGGGAGGCAGAGAAACGCTTCCGGGCCGCACCAGAGCAATAGACAAAAGCCCACATATACCAGCCCTGTTGTTCTTATTCCGAATATAGCTGAGGTATGAAAAGACCTGCTAAAAAACATGGTTTTCTCCCAATCACATCATGCGTTGTCCCAACAGTGGTCACACAGAAGGGCCGTGGCATCGGCCTCAAGAGGCAAGGCACGGATAATAGCAACACGAAAGCATGTTCGGTCGGATAGTTGGGGTTGCGCCATCTATAAACTTATAGTGGGAATTAGAAAAGACTGGCTGTGGGGTGAAGGTCAAAGACCGTAACGCAGTATATTACAAACTTAATCTTAGTATCGCAGTATCATCGCGGAACAGAGCGGGTAGATAGCCTCACTCAATAAACGGGTCGTGAGAGGAATGCTTTGCCTGTACAGTGACGGGTTTGGCCGAAGTAGCACTTGATGATTCTCTCTTCTGCCTGAGCCATTGGATAAATCATCATAGACCTTCTAGCCGACCCATACATTGAGAAACCCTGCCTTGTCGAGAGAAACAGCACAAATCTATCGCCATTGAAAAGACAGCATGCTCGGATCCTCGTTGTACGTGGTAAGCGAGGGACGGTCCAGCCCAACGCCCATGCTTTACAGCAGACTAGGATCCTCCGGCGTGTTTTTGGATTAGCACTTCGCAGCGCAATTTAGCAGCCATTTTATTGCGCTCTGAAGTTATAAGTCTTTACGCGTCCATAAGAGAGCGAAATACTGTCGGAGCCTACCTTTTTCAGGAAGGGACTAGATGCGGTGGATGGATGACGGATGACTCCGAGTTCATAGTCTATGACTCTCATTTCGAGGAATTCATGAAGTATATGGACATAGACGATGGTGACTTAGGCTTCGGTGAGCCCGCGGTGAGCTTGTGATAGGTGACCAAGACTAATACTTCAACAATAGAACGCTTCCCTCTAGACTCACGTCGTAGCACTCGCCCATAAGTAGTTTTCGTACCTAGCATTTTAGTCAATAGTGGTTCTATAGAGCAAGGCTTACTAGAACAGCACTAAATAAATAAGAGGGGAGGTAGAACACCTAGAAAGATACGGCTGAATGTAGCGGAACTATGAATCCTTACGTATAATGTATCTCGAAGTCTATAGCGACTCGATCACGTCCGTGGCCATCTCGCCTAACTCGCAGCGGCTGGGTCTTTTCAATAAAACGATACAGCAATAGGATACCACTACGAACGCCTGTATAGCGACGCTCAAGGGCCATAGCGTCTCGAGCATGTCTTCGCTTAGATGGTCCGGAACTGACCACAGCTATTTGAACATGAATAATCTTGCTCGCTTGATTTAGTTAGTATGTCTGATCAGTGCACCAGCTGCTGCATTCTTATAGTGGGAAAGACACGGGACTATACAACTGGTCTCAACGGCCCCAACCACCACTGCCCGATGGGTGCCTCCCATAGCGTCGTCGGGAGGCTAGTCCCGTTCAATACGGGAGCAGAGAGTAGTACTATAACGAGGTTATCCTGGTTCACGTTTCTCCGGTGTAAATCTTAGGGGCTGTTCCTGGCGAGCCAACTCGCCTGGAGCCGTATCTCACCGCACCTCTGTTATACTTATTTTCCAGATCCTCAATTTGAAGCTTTTCCTTTGACCCGGCATCTCGAGAACAAAGCGAAGTGCCGGTGCTAGACTTGTGGCTAGCGAGCCTTTCCGCTACGTCAATCCTTTTTTTGATAACGAGCCTTCCCTGCATGCCACACACCCCGAGATAGTAACTTTGGCCTTGGTCTATGAGTGTTATAACTGCCGCACGCTGCTTGGAAGATAACACAGAGTCGGCGTTCCGATCGAATTGTAGGCTCGGCAAAGATGAGCGTTCTCGAGACATAAGTGTGGCGGTGGTGAAAAAGGAAAAGGGGAGCGTCGTAAACGGGCTCCGGAAGACGCGACGCGGGTATGGGGTGGGCTCAGACGTTTAGGATAGGCCTCCCCCCACTCCACCTGGACCATGCTATGACGGCAAAAAACAAAATAGTCTTCTACGGCTCCATGCGACTCACTACCCTGATGAACGGTCGACGGGCCCAGCGATGGCCGGCACCATTCGAGGAACACCTAACTCTATTCCAATATTCCAAATCATGTTTATAAACCGCTCTGACCAGCCAGCGAAGTGAACCAGTGCTAATTGGTCGACTTGTAAATAAGATTCTTCGGTCGTCGCGGGCCAACGGACGTCACCTATCGCGTTCCCGTTCAGCAAGAATATGTACAGGGGTTTCAGATGCGGAGCTACAATCCCAACATGTAGCCTTGTTCTAGAAACAAGTACATAGACGGCCCCCTGTCGGACGTCCTTGTCGCTATTGTCGAGCCGCGCCGCCACCCGCGTGAGGATCTCGTCGGATAGCTGTTCCCGTGCCGCGAGCGCTCGGACGGCCGCTAATCGGACGTTCTCGTGGCTATCGTCGAGCAACGCCGCCACCTGCGTGAGGATCTCGTCGGATAGCTGTTCCCGTGCCGCGAGCGCTCGGACGGCCGCCTCTCGGATGTCCTCGTGGCTAGCATTAAGCCACGCCACTACCTGCGTGAGGATCTCATCGGATAGCTGTTCCCGTGCCGCGAGCGCCTGGACGGCCGCCTCTCGGACGAATAGATCGCTATCGTCTAGTAACGCCGCTACCCGCGTGAGGATCTCGTCGGATAGCTGTTCCCGTGCCGCGAGCGCCTGGACGGCCGCCTCTCGGACGTCCTCGTGGCTATCGTCGAGTAACGCCGCTACCTGCGTGAGGATCTCGTCGGATAGTTGTTCCCGTGCCGCGAGCGCCTGGACAGCCGCCTGTCGGATGTCCTCGTGGCTAGCATTAAGCCACGCCACTACCTGCGTGAGGATCTCGTCGGATAGCTGTTCCCGTGCCGCGAGCGCCTCGACGGCCACCTGTAGGACGTCCTGGTCGCCATCGTCGAGTAACGCCGCCACCCGCGTGAGGATCTCGTCGGATAGCTGTTCCCGTGCCGCGAGCGCCTGGACGGCCGCCTCTTGGACGAATAGATCGCTATCGTCGAGCAACTCCGCTACCCGCGTGAGGATCTCGTCGGATAGTCGTTCCCGTACCGCGAGCGCCTGGACGGCCGCCTCTCGGACGTCCTCGTGGCTATCGTCGAGTAACGCCGCCACCTGCGTGAGGATCTCGTCGGATAGCTGCTCCCGTGCCGCGAGCGCTCGGACGGCCGCTAATCGGACGTTCTCGTGGCTATCGTCGAGCCGCGCCACGACCCGCGTGAGGATCTCGTCGGATAGCTGTTCCCGTGCCGCGAGCGCCTGGACAGCCGCCTGTCGGACGAACCGATCGCTATTGTCGAGCAGCGCCCCCACCCGCGTGAGAATCTCGTCGAATAGGATTAAATACGGACCTAGGATAGCCAAGATCCTGATTACCAGCTCTTTCAGTGCATGAGGTTCTAGCCAGGATTCTAGTAGATCGGCTACGCACGTCGGGATGCTGTGTCGTAATCGCAAGGCGTCGACGAGCTTGACTCGACCCTCATCGGTCGCCCCTTGCAGTGCCCTCCATAAGACTAGCGACGGAAGCTCCATTTCGCGTGCTAAGGACGAACTACTCCGGTATTTGCATTCGAACAACAGCCATTCCACCAGGTGATCCTCGAGTCTTGTTCGAAGTGCCGCAAAACTCGACTGCGGCCGAGCCTGCACCTCGCTCAGGCAATATATGACGAGCCTTTGATGCGTCAGGCCCAAGAGGTCGATCGGCTCCTTCCTGATCTCGTCGAAGAACTCCTCCGCCTTCCCCTCTGTGTCAAGCAAGCCGGCAACGAAGCGCCATAGGATGTCATACCGCGCAGTATACTTATGCTTCCCAAGATATTCAATAGGCGTAGCACCTACGTCTTGTGTGTCCCGACTGGCAAGCACTAAGTTTTTGGGTGGGCTTGCCCTCCACTGCCGTACAAAATACCGCGCCGCAAAATACTCTTGGTAGGTTAGGTGCAGAAAGTGACAGCTTCGGTTGCCGATCTCCGACGATAGATTCGAAGTCCGCAGGAAGGAAAGGCGTGGCAAGGTCGCGTCGGGTAAGAGGTCTGGCGCAAAGCGGTCGAAGGCTTCGTTAAGAAGCTGCTGGTCGAACTCGATCACGTCGTTGTGCATTCCAGTGAAAGAAAGGCCCTCTAGAAAAGAAATCTCGTGTTCGGCGAGTGCCTCGATTCTGAACCCGCTAGCCGATTCGATATGTAGTTTTATGACCAGCTCTCCGTCGTATTTCTTATTTAGCCGCGGAACATCCTTCTTCCATAACCTTTGCTCGATTGCTTGGTAAACGGCGGTCATCGTATTAAGGGGCACCGCGGAATCAAAGCCTTCGTTCCAGGTAAAGCAGAGCGCGTCCAGCTGGACCGGGATGCGAACGAGACCTTGCATAAGCTGATGATCTTGAAGGAAGGACCGAATCTTACTGGTCTTTTGTGGATCTGGAAAAGTGTTTTGTAGATACGTAGTTACTTGATCTGGGTAAAACCCGATTGTCTCTAGTTCGAGGTCGAGGGTGATAGTGGTTGGGAGTTTGGTGTACGGCCGGGATGTGATAATGACGTTGCGCTGATCCAGGAGCCATTTGAGGAAGTCGAACATCTCATGATCCGGGTCTAGGAGATCGGACACCTCATCCAGGCCGTCGAGGATGAACAGAGTTCTACCATCCTGAATAGCACGCACCAGGGCATTGGCGAGATGCCTGCCGTCGCCTGGCCTATTCCAGAAATACTCGTGAGTGAATAAATTCTCAAGATTGTAGCCTGTTGCTGACCGTGCCTTGAGCTTCCGCAAAGTCATCCATAGCACTCGATCGAACAAGTGTGCCCATGTGCCATGCCGAGTAAAGTCATAGACAATCCTCTTGCACAAGGTCGTCTTGCCCACGCCGGCGCGTCCTCGAATGAGAATTCGTCTGGGATTCACCTCGCCGTCCTCCCGTTTGCGAGGATTAAAGACTGCCGGTAAGTCGACCTGGATCGTCTTGTCCGGTGTCTCCGCCTTTGGCCTCGCGTAGAGAGAGAATGGGGAGGACTTGGACGCTACATCCTCTTCCTCTGAGTTTTTCTCCCAGTGGTGCACAGTTTTCCTGTGCTGCTCAACGATGGCAAGGTTGATGTAACACTGTTCCATCGACAGCAGTTCGCCTGAGAGTCGTTCAATCTTGAGCCTGTCATCATTATAGTGCTGTTTGCGTATCCAGTCGTCCGCTTGCTTCAGCGGACTCCCCTCGCGGATCCTATGGAGCATTTCTTGGATCTTCCCGGCAACCTTCTCGTAATCGGGATATTTAGGGTGTTCGAATTTGTTTGTCAGAACGTGAGGTCGGTCGAGGGGCAGCGGCTGTTGGACCATATCCAAAGTCGCCGAGGAACTATCGACCAACTGGTAACAGTCAGCCAGGACGGGGGAGGGCAGTGCTTCGCGAGGCTTACCGGTTTTTCTCGGCGTAGCCAGGCTGGCAGCCAAGGCAATACTTTACTCGGCAGACTCGTCATGCCGAGTTCGTAGAAGTTGAACACGTCACAGGGATAGTCGTCGTCTTGACACAACTGCGTGAACCGTCGCACCAGGGCCTCAAGATCGAGGGTTGATCCCTTCGCGCTGTCGAGCAGTCTGCTCGATTCTCGGCCTCGGACCCCAGCCCAGGCCTTCAGGCCCGGCTCCGCCCAGGCTGCCACGTCTTGGAACGAGGTCCCGCGGAACGGCGTGGCAAGGAAGACAATGCCACGCGTGGCTCTTCTGAGACGGCAGTAACTGCTGTTCTCGTTATCGGCATCCACGAGGGCCTTTGCTAGGATGATGCCCCCGAGACACGACGCGACGAAGAAAAGCGGCCGGTCTTCCCCTCTCGCGCCGTTCGTTGCCCGCGGCCGCCTCTGAATGCCGTCGAGCAGCAGCAGAGCATATTCATCGATTCTCTTCTGGGCCAAGCCCGGCGGCTGAAGGAGTTCGGCGGGCCAGTCGCACGTGAAGATCCTGGCGCGTTCTACCGCGGCCGGGAGCATGCGTCGATCCTGCAGCCAGTTGACGCCGTTCTCCGGGTGTTTGGCCCGCCTTAGGCGCGTCCAGAGCGGCTTCGGGCGTCGCCACGTCCATGTATCTGGTGACTTCGTGTCGAGGCCATGGACGGCGATGATATCGATGTCTGTGGCCGTGTCGGTCTTGTCGGGGCTGACCTGAGAGAGACGGACCCCTCGCGTGGCTTGTGTCGAGCCCTTTGAAGCGGGAGATGACAGTGCGTGTTCGGAATGCGCCGCCGTGGGACAGAACCAGAGACAGGCAGCAATGGCAGCAGCCAGGAGACAAAGAGTAGATGTCCATCCGGCCAGGGACATGTCCTGGCAAAGGCTGGCGGCAATCATGGCTCTGCTCCGGACAAAGACGGTTTCCAACGGCCCGGCCTGGCGATCGTACACGCAGCGGTCGTCTGCGAGACTGCGCTTGAAGTTTCCTCCTTGCCCTTGGTGGTCCACTGTGATAGTCGCTCGCCTGTCCGCGAGCTGGCGCCGGGGAGAGGGGTTGCATGGTGATGGTTTGGCGGCGTCCAATCATCTCGATTTAATTAAGGTGTGCCGTCATAACAACGCGACAACGCGACAACGCGACTCGACTATCGGAATATATATTAGAAAGCGTGCTAAAGCGTCGAGTCGCGTTAATAACGAGAACGATACGTCTCTATCGCGTCGGGATTAGCAGTTAGAATCTGTCGAGATGCGGTGAGACGATGGGGGCGAGCCAGTCTTGTTTGTGGATGACAGCGTGTGCGAAGCGGCCTCCAGCGTCCTTTACCAACGGTATCAATCCCACGTGCGCGCACATGCCTCAGTGCCACTGCAACATACGTTAGGCGTACGTCGGGTGACAACCATATTTCCTTTGCCAGATTGAAGTCTCGATAGCACGAATGTCGAACCCGAAAGTATTGGAGAGATCTTGATGCGGTCGATATGACTGCAGGGTAAGCGGCATGGGAGAGGCCCGAGACCGGCAAGGATCGCAATTACAAGGACGCACTCTGGCTGATTCCGCTTTTCGCTTTATAAATTATACAATAGGCAACTCTATGCTCCCCTTGTGAGAAGACTCTCGAATCATCGGCAGGAGCTCAATTTGTTCGCAAAATCGCGTACGCTGGTGTTGGAGATTGTATAGCAGTAGCACAATAGTGAACCTACTCGGGATGCTCAGCTAACCACAAGCCTAACTATACTCAAGTCTACGAAACAGAGTCTGCCGTTTCTCTATACTCTCACAGTGGTCAATCAAATGGACCGACTTTAGTAGATCTATTCGACAAGAGCAACTCACTAGTGCGGTAAGAAGACCATTCTCCGTCGTTGGTGAACTCTTCTGGATCCTGAACAACAGCCTCGATCATGATTCACGAGCCCCAGCTAATCTTCAGCGCCGCCCCGATGGCACCCGCAGCGGCTCCAATGCCGGCCCCGACAAGAGCACCGCCTGGGCCGAGGGCCAGGCCGATAGTAGCGCCCAGCACGGCGCCTGTTGCGGCCCCGGCCAGCACACCCGTGCCGGCCCCGACGACCGCCGCCGTCTCCTGAGAGCCCCCCCCGCTGGTCACGGCGGCCTCGACCTTGTCATTGACCCATGCCCCGACGGCGCCCCCGACAGAGAGGCCCATACCGGCGGCCTGCAGCGGCGGGCTTCCGGAGAGCATCATGGCGTTGGCCGCCAGGTCGACGCCCGCGTCGGCTTTCTGGGCCACGGCGGCACTGCTGTCGGCGAGAGTAGCGAGCGCCATGCCGGTACTGGCGACCGTACCGACCACCCCAAGGCCCTTGGCACCGACCATGAGGGCCGTGGCGCCGGCCGCGAGGCCCTTGCCGGCGACAGTGGCCACTTGAAGCCTCGCGAGTCGTACCGCCGCCTCGCTCTGCTTGACCAGATCGACGGCCGTCTGGGTCACTTTTGCCACCTCATCAGCGTTCCCGAGGACCGCTTTGTTGACCTCGGTCTGATGGAGGATAGCAGAGGCCACCGGCCCGTTGGCGGCGGCGCTCAGCTGCCTCGTCATCTCGCTTGCGAATGTAGCGAACTGGGGCGAGCCGCTGGTGAAGCCGCGGGCGACAATGAGCAAGGCCTCACGCTTGGCGGGCACGCCGGATAACTTCTTGATATCGTTGAGAAACTGGCCGAGGTGGCTCGAGTGGCGGTTCACCTGTCGCAGGTAGTCACCGGCGGCCGAGGCCACCTTCCCCTGGTTGAGGATGGTGCGTTTGCCGTCCGCCGCCTTGTCGAAAAAATGCCACATGTCGGTGGTTTTGAACTCGATGCTGGTGCGCTTCCACCACACCACTCCCTTGCGCAACCAGTCCAGCCGGGAACCCCCCAGGCCTGCCTTGACTGTGACCTCCAGGTCGCCCTGGATGCCGGCTCGGGCAAGCAGTGTGGTGACCTGCCGCAGGACCTTGTCGTGCCGCTTCCCGGATGCATGCAGGGTTGCCGACGAGCTGGTCGTCGCCGAGTGGCCCGACGGGTCAGAGAAGGCCACCGGGTTGCACTGCGCATACACGTAGCTGTTGAGCCCGTCCGCCAGGCCCGACGGATCCGCGCTTGTCCACCGCCCCAAGCCTGGTGCATAGTATCGAGCCCCCATGCAGTATAGCCCTGTCGCGTCGTCGCGCTCCGCCCCGGCGTACCGGAATCGCCTGGGAGGCAGCGAGGGCGAGGCCACCGACCGCCCAGACGCCGAGTACGACGTGGCACCGAAAGGTGTGTACTCTTCCCGCGTCAGGGTTCCGCCATCCTCGTCCAGCTCGAGCGTCGAGGAACCTTGCAGGTTGGCGTACTGGTAGCGAAGTAGGCGGGGAGGACGAGCTGGAGGGCGACGACGGCCATGAAGAAGAGAATCGACAGTGATGAACTCAGCCCGTAGGATTGGGAGGGCCCCGTTGCCGCTCCCGCCAGCAGCACCGAGAATATGACATGTCTGCAACTCCAACTTGACATCGTCTTCGGCCAGTCCATGAATGGAAGTTGAAGGCGAAGGCGCCGCCTCACCTTGCTCACTACAGTCTCTAGGGCGGTACTTACGAAACACCTCAAAGGCACCACCCACATATATAGTCTCCTTGAGCCGAGCACGTCTGTCCACATCACCCCCCTGTGCTCTAGGACAAGAAGAGACTCGCTCGGACACCTTGCGCACGCGCTTCCCCGTATAATCATACCGGTAGTGGGTCATGGTCGTCGTGTCCCCATCGCTTGGCTCCCGGCTGCTCTTCCTTCTGCTTCTGATGTTCTCACTCGAGGAAGAGACGACGAGCTGATCGCGAAAGTTCCACTGCATCCTCGGCACCTTGGGAATGGACGTCATGGCGCCGCTGGCGCCTTGGGAACCCTCGTACTTGTAGCGTTCGGCCCGTCTGCCGATCCTCGTCCAGCTCAGCCGGTTGGACGTGACGCCCGTCTCGAGGGCACTGGGCTCCTCGTAGCCGTAGTGTCTGGTCCAGATACGTCCCTCGGCCGCGCCAGCGGCGGTCACGGCGCGATGCTCCATGCGCAGCATGTTGCTGGCGAGATCGTACTGGTATCTCTCTACGTAGCGGCCCATGGCCCGCCCATTTCCCGGATGCGCATCCTGCCGCCCAGGCTGGCCGCCAGAGCTACCCTTAGGCTTGTCCGGTGAGGGCACAGCAGCTCTTCTGCCAGCGCCAAGATGCTCGCGCCCCCAGGCCTCGACCAGCCGGTATGTGGAGTCGTAGATGAAATCCTGAGAGGCGTCGATGCGCGTGTTGCGGTGCCAGACGGTCTGCTGTGGCCCGTCGACAATGCTGCTCAGATTGCCGGCGGCATCGTATACATGCCGCAAGTCCTGCACACATCTACGCTCGTAGCTCTCCCCCTGGATGTCCAGGCTGGGATGGCCGTGGCGGCGGCGGTGAGGGTGCCGGCGTCTGTTCCAGCTGCTTGGCAGCCGATGACGGTGATGACCAGCCTCTCGCCCACCCGAGGAGAGATGTCGACGTCTCTTGAGCCTCGTGGTGATGCCCGCGAGACGAAAAGTGAGAGGATCGTAGCTATTCGTCGTGGTGGTGCCGTTGCCGAAGACAGATCGCGTCCGCTGGCCCTTGGCATTGTACTCGGTGTGGAGCAGCACCTTGGTCTCCGCCTCATCTCGGCGGAACCAAGTCGATACGCTCTCCTGCAGACCGCGGATGTTGTATCTGCTCTTGGTCACGGTGCCGTCCGCCAACGTCGTGGCGGTGACCCGGCTGAGGGCGTCGTACTCGAGACTCTGCCTGTGCGTCTCCTCCTCCAGAGCCACGCCGTCGTCTCGCGACCAGTCAATGGCTCCTCGGTACTCTCTGGCCAGCGTGTGCTCCGTCTCTAGAATATTTCCCTTAAAGTCGTAGGTTTCTGTATGCGTCACGCCCGCCTGGTCCCGCACCTCAACAATTCGCACCCGGGCGTTGCCCTCCCGGGCCTGAGCCCTGGACTCACCATAGACCATCTGCTCCACCAGGACTTCTTCTTCCCCCTCTTCCTCCTCGCCGGTCTCTCCTGGGACGCCTTGCCGAAGAAAAACGTCCGTGGGACGCCTCAGTTCGTCATACACCATCCTCAGTCGATGACCCCGGCCGTCCCACGACAGGATTATCTTGCCCAGAACGTCCAACAGCGCCCAGCGCGTCCCGTTCTCCAAGCCAACCTGTTTGAGCACTCCGCCTCCGTAGCTGTAGGCCGCCCAGCTTACGAGCCGCCCCAGACTATCAATGACTCGCTGTTGGTTGCCCTGTATATCCAACACGGCGTGATTGCGCCATACCTGTGCTGTCGTCGGGCCCTCGCCAGCCCCGGGAGAATCCGTCCACGCCGTCCTGACCGTCTCGAACGCGGCAAATGTCCTCCCCATGGCGTCCATCAGGACGGTCCGGGGGGTCGAGGCATGTGCGGCGGCGCGCTCCGCGGCCTTCTTGGCCTCCCTGCCCATGTGGCCGCTGCTTCTGGGTGCGTGCCACGTCGGTAGGTAGTCGCCCCTCGGCAGACGCTGAAAGTAGGGGCCCACGTCGGGGTCATCTGCCGGATCCGACAAAAGCACTGTGTCGTTGGCGTCCCACGACTCGGCACGCCACGGGTCCTGGCGCACCTTGGTCCAGCTGTGGTCGGGCGAGAGGGTGGCAACGACGCGGCCGACGGGGTCGTAGAGCAGGATGGGCGACACGCCCACCGCTTCCGAGGCTTGATAGCGGTGCGTCGGCGCGAAAAAGGGCTCATATTGTCTCACGGGAGACCCTTTGTTGTTGTAGACGGTCCAGCCGGAGCCGACCCAGCGGGGTGTCACCTTGACACCAGGCGAAGAGCCCAGCTCGGCCAGCCCCTTTTGCTGCACCACCCTGTCGAACCCGTCCGAGTAGGAGATGCCCAACGTGATACGACTCTTCTCTCCCTCGGCTAGCTGCGACACGTGCTTCTCCCTGCTGAGCGACGCACTCCAGGCAGGCTGTGGGTCGGGGTCGTCTCTCGTCTTGTAAAATGCGTGGTAGTCGTACAGAATCCTCGAGCTCGCCTTGCCCAGCAGGTCGTCAAGCATGTCGAGGGGCGAAGAAGCTCTGGAGCGTCTCTGGATGTATATCCGCCACGAAGCCCTCAAGGGAGTCCCCGTCGTCCTGCCCTTGCTTTCCCATCGCGGCCAAACCGGTCAACATGCCCATGACGTCCAAGACCGCCTCGTTCCTGTTGCCGTTGGGGTCTGTGACGAGAGTCGGCTGCAAGACGCGGTAGTTCTGTCCGGGCCGGCGCAGGCGCGATGTCTGGGCTGGGCCCGTCGTCTGCACGTACGTCTCGTCGACTTCGCCCACTACGGTGCGGTTGCCCAGGGGGTCAATGGCTTCTTGCACGAGGAGATTGTACTTGTCAAACAGAACGATCGAGTCAATCGGCCGCTCGGGTGTGCTGAAGGCATCCTCGGCGCGGTGAGACAGGAAGAAATGGGACCGTGCAAAGGCGAGCTCCTCGGTGGGCGTGTGCGTTCGGTCCGGCGAGAGGAACATGTTGGCTGTCCGCGTCCACCAGTTGCCGTCCTCGCCACGAATGTAACCCCCGTCCTGGCGCAAGACGTGGTCCGTCTCTGAAGCCGTCAGCTTGCCGTCCGCGACGAAGACGGCGTCGACCTGCCGCTGCGACATGGCCAGCTGGCGATTTTGGAACGGAAGGGCAAGGGACTCGATCACCCCGACGGGCAGTGGGGAGCTCAGATCGTCCGCACGGTAGACAGACTGCGTATGCTGGAGCAGGCGACGGCGAGGAAGGCGTGGGACATTGTGTTCCTCAGAAGGACCATCATAGCTTTCAAAGGGCAGGTCAAGGGCCCCCGAGTCGAGGGCCGCAAGGGCGGCGCGTAGCTGGTCAATCTCGAGGAGAGGCCGTCGCTCTCGTCCCGCCGCGGAAGAGGAAGAGAAGGAGGAAGACAGCTGGCATTCATCATGGTCCCTGGGGGTAGGAAGAAGATTGAACAGTTGGTAGGTCCGCGTCTCGGCAGAGAGGGGCGACAGCCAGTTGTCGTCGTCCTGGATGGCGTTGGTCATGGTGTTCTCTGTGAGAATGGCGTAGTCACGCCTCTGGGACTCGTGATCTTGCTCCGACAGCAGGGGGCTCGCGTCTGCAAACTGTCGACCGTAGCTCAGAGCGACCGTCTGCAGAATGTTACCCCACGCATCCGTCCGGAGAGTCAGACTATGCGCCGTTCGTGGGTCTGCCTCTTCTTCAATCTGCCCCTTGCCCACGACGACGGGGTACAGCCGCCTGTCGTATCCGGCTTGCACGCTCTCCAGCCCACGCATGTGGAACACGGCGTATGGATTACCGGCGCTTTGGCCTGGCTGCAGCATCTCTACTAAGAAGTTGGCCTGATTGATGGTGTATGGCAGAGCGGCTTGAGGCGTCCCGTCCCGGGAGTAGATCTCCGAGCGCAGCACGGAGCCTTTGAGCGCGCGAAAGGCCTCGCAGCGCTCGTGGGGTGGGAGGGTGTATGGCGTGTAGCTGGAGTCGCCAACGCGGATGGAGTTGGGTGTGGCGGAAGAGTAAGGGATGCGGCGTCCAAGGTCAATAGTGTGGTATTGCCGCCCAAAGGCAGACTCGAGGCTGCATTCTTGGTCGGGGAAGCAGACACCCGTATGGAACCACGTCTTGGTCAGGACGGGGGGAACCGTCGAGGTGCTGTCCCAGTTGCTGGCGTCTCGGTAGCCACGCCATGCCTCGACTTCCGATTGCCGAGCGCGACCCGGCTGCAGCGTTGCAATATCCTCCGTGTCCCATGTTTCCACCATGCCAAATCCACGGAACTCTTTCTCGACACCATCGTAGTAGCCAGAGTGGTAGGCGTACCGGGTGGTGAACTTGTTCTTACTGACCCGATCCAGACTCTCTAGCCGCTCCACCACGTGGACAGGGAACGGAAGCTTGGTCACCCAAGGGTTGCCCGCTGCCTTGTCGCGTAGGTAGAACGTGGATGAACTCGTGTACCAGTAGCGCGTCTCTGACCCGAGGTTGTTCCTCGTCCGCGTCATCAGGTACGGCTTCCCACGTGCCATGAGGTCGACGTAGCGCACCTGTGTGCCCTGGTCGGAGCCTGCGCTCGACGACCACACGAGGCAGCCAGTGCCTCGGGCCAGCAGGTCCACGACCTGAATGTTGGTGGTGTCGTCGGTGGCGGGCAGCGCCGTGATGGCGTGGCCGCTGGTCCAGCCATTTCCGGCCTGGTTGAGGTAGACCATGGTCTCGTGGCCCTTGAGGTAGACCAGATCCGTCGTTCCAGACCCGTCAATGTCGGCCAGATGCAGCCTGCTCTGACGAAACTGGTCCTGGGAGTCCAACAGGGGCGCGTTGGTCATGACCACCTTGTGGCCGAACCGGCCATAGCCCAGGTTGGGCCAGTAGCACACCTCGTGGTAGCCAACGCGGACTAGATCGCTGAGGCCGTCACCGGACATGTCGGCCGTGTAGATGACGGTGAGGCCGTCCTCGAGCACCAGACGCGGTCCCTTGTTCTCGTCCAGCGGTGGCCGCCAGTGGGTGGCAGAGCCGAAACCGTCTTCCTTCAGGGACGGGTAGATGGAGAAGACCTGCTCATCTGCGGTGAAGAGAATGTCGGCATGTCCGTCACCGGTGAGGTCGATGAACTTGGTGTTTGGATCCCGCCACTCCAAGTTTGGCAGCAATCGAAATGGTCTGAACGGCTGCCAGTCGTCCACTTCACCTATTGTGTCCCCTCTCCCTCCTCCTCCTCCTCCTACGCCCCCACGATCACCTGCAACGCGCTTATAAAAGCCCGGCGTAGTTCCATCAAAGCGGACCATGTCCATCTTGCCGTCCCCGCGCAGGTCCAGCCATTGCGGTGGAGCGGCCGACTTGCTGCGGTTCGCGTACAGGGTAGGCACGTACGGGAGGGCGACTGGAGGCGCAAAGTTTCCATCGCCGAGGTTGGACTTGTAATAGTAGGAGCCAGACTCATGGGCGAGGATGCCCGGAACACCCTCGCCGTCCATGTCGAGGAACTGGTAGTCGCCTTGGATCCCGAGCGGGATCCCCTCGAGGGCAGAGGTGCCAAGGTAGCTGGTGCGTCCGGAGATGACGGCCTCGGAGTAGTCGAGTTCGATGGGAGGCATGGACTGCTGCACGTAGCCGTCTCCGGCACGCCGGTAGGCAGTCTTCCGAAAGGAAGAGGCGCAGGTGGCCGAGGACAAACCGGTGCTCCTCTGCCACCCATTGTGAAAGTAGGTAATGTCGAGGGAGGTCACCAGGGTGTCCTCGCCCATCTCGACCTCCCCCGGGAAATGGTGGAACATGAGGATCCTGTGGCAAAGACGATAGGTTCGGAGTTCGAACCCGGCGCGGTTGCTCGAGAATGGATCCGTCCGCGTGCTCCACGGGCAGGACTCTCGCGGCAGCGGTGTCTTGTCGTCATGGTCGCCAAAGTCGAAGACGAGCTCAAATAGCCATTCAGAGCCAGGGTGAATCTCCTCGACGAGGCGCGACACACGGTTGCCGTACTTGATGCGCTTCAGATACTTGGTAGCCTCCCTCTGCCTTGGCCGCCTGTAGGCCTCGTGGGGCGCATCCACGTCCACACCCTCCGAGTTGTCCGCCTTGTATCCGAACACGGAGGCGTTGCCTCGGTCGTCGTATGTCCGCGAGGCCAGCCACCGGAAGACCTTGGACGGGTCGTCTGGATCAGCCACACGCGAGCACGCGTCCTCCCCGAACACAGTCGTCTGGTTACTGCGCGAGATGCTGCGCCAGTGCGTGTCCTTGGAGCCGATCTCGATCCACCGCTCGATCCTGGCAAAGGAGCCCTCGATGCGCGGTCGGTACGCACTCACCGCGTACTCGACACCACCTAGGCAACGTCGCTTCGGTGCTGGACGGTACCACACTCCACCAGGTCGCATCTCGAGCATCGGCACCAGGTCCTCCGAGCCCGTGATGACAAACACATCGGACTCGCCCTCGTCGTCGTACCGCGGCAGCCCCATGTCCGTCTTGCGCCCGACGCTGGGAAGACCTCCAAGCTGCCAGCCGAAGCCAAACGGGCCGTTGCCGGCGGCCGAGTCGTAGCTCAGACTCAGCTCGGGCGTGAGACCGGACCGACCTGAGGTGATGGGCAGTGGGATGCTCGCCGCGGCGGTGCCCGTCGCCGGACTGACGCTGAAGCGCTCTCCAATCCCGCGGATGGCGCCGCCGCCACGAGCCATGCTGACCGAGGGCAGGCCATTACCAGTTGCAGCGGACGGAGGTGGATTGTCCGGGGGCCCTTTGGACGAGGACGATGATTCCCCAGTGGATTGTCCATTGCCCTTGCTGGATTGGGAGGGGGAAGAGGTCGAATCGAAGCCTACGAGAGGTTTGGCATGTGGCAGCTTCTGCGCTTGTTGCACGCGCGGGTCACCCCGCGAGGAAGACATGGCGCCTAGCAAAGGCGCGGTCTTGTAACTGAAATTCTTTGTAATTGACGCTTCACGAGCATTCGGGGCCAGTGGATGCCTCGAGGCGTGTGTTTTGTGATCATCACAATGTGAATGAGCCCCCCCAAAGTCTGAAGCAGTGCCGTTACCGGGACTGAATTGTGGAAATGACTCTAGAACTACAACCACTTGGTACGTCGCTTTTTGAGACTACTCTCCATCCGCGCAGACGGTAGTCTAGTATCTGTCTGCAGCTCCGGCCGGCCGGACACGAGGCGCTCGCCAGCCCATTGGCGTCGTGCGCGTCAGCCGCCACAACTTGACTCTTGCGTGCGAGCGAGCCACCACTACGATGCCTCATCACCAATGACACCAATAGATGGTTTCAGCCAGCCACATCGCAGACGACCGGCGTCACAAGTCTAGACCGGAACTTGGCTTCAACGTGCAGGAGAGCGATTGGAACACCTTCGTGCTCCTCCCCCAGCGACGCAAAGTGAAGATGGGTCGTTCAGCTGCGCTTCAGCCGTTGCCAGGAAAGAAAGCCACAGCGTCGTTTTATTCCCCAACGGTGGCAGCTGACTTTTCAGCCGTCCCGTAAGCGATATCCGTCTGTACCGGAACGATGGTACAGCCCTACCGGTAAGCGTGCCGATCATGCGTCCTTGACGCTTCCCCGCGCCGGCAATCGCTGTCTCCATTCAGCTGGGGGACCACTGGACCAGGACGGCCGATAAAAAGACAAGCCGGAACGCCATGGCGTGTGATTGCGGCAGAATCCACTGCTGACAAAATTTCTCAGCCCGGCCAGGGGGTGCGCAGCCCCAAACGGGGTGCATGATCTAGGCTCCAGACTGTTACCCTTGTGTGTCACTCTGTCCCCTCGGGCTATCCACACTCCCACTTGACGAGCCGGGCCTAGAGTGTCCGTAAACGAAGCATGTCGCACGTAGTTCGCTTGGAGGACGGCTCGTGTCGTCTTGGGAAACTGTCTTTCCGAGGCCCCAGTGGCGAGGGTCTTTGCGTATTCTCATCCATCTCCTCCCATCGTATATCTTAACTGATCTGATGCGTCTTCCCATCTACACGCAACACCTACGTGAAACCTTGCCTCCATCCGACGTGCATTTACAGCTACTACTGTAGCTATGAGGAAGAGCAATCATCCACGCTGTCTCTCCATCCTTTGACAGCAGCCGCCATGACTATTGACCTAATCATCGTCCGGCTGCTCCCGAGTCCGCCCACCGATGCGGCCACCTTCCGGGACTACATCCGGGACCTCTCTATTCAGTGCTTTGACCAGAACATCACCAACGTCGACGAGAGCACCAATCCTACGGGCGCCAATCAAGTCCTTCTGGGCGAGGCTAGTGGACTGCTCAGTTTCTCCGCGAGTCAGGCATGGGACGCGATCATAACGCCCATAGATATTCCTGATCCGGAACCAGGACGCAAGAAGAAGCTGCCCAAGTCCATCATCCAGCATACCGCCGCCAATGTGCCGCGAGGATTCCCGCAGCCCCCGACGTCGGGCGTGCTGAAGGCGGTGGCCACGGCCGTCATCGTTGTGGACATGCAACCGCCTGACGCCGGCGCGGCCCACAAGGAGTATCCCAAGAAAACGGGCTATGATGTCCGTCTCGTCCTCAAGCGCAGCGGTGTCGCGCTTGAGGCACCCAGTATCGAGTGGAACGCGACCTGCTACACTGTCCGCGATCTCTCACCCTATGCCGTAGACTACATGGGCATAGCCAACAACCCCATCATCCTCGACGGATTCCCACGCATGACGGTGCCTTCCCTGTACGCGCTCATCCCCTCGGCACCAAGCCCCTTGCCCGCGGGCACCGCTGCCATCCTTCTTCAGCAGAACGGCAATCCACCGCCGTTTGACGAGCTCGTGAACGGCGTCAACCTTGTGCTGGCCAAGTACGACCTGGACACCGGCACCAGGCTGCAGAACCTTATTCAACCTCTCACCGAAGCCCAGAGCCAGGACATTGCCTCGGAGATTGTCTACAACCGGGCCTGGCTGCCCCTCCCGTCCCCTGTGCCCGAGGAGAGCCTGTCGCTCGAGGACTTGTACACGTCCCCAGGCACCTACAATGACATGACACGCACCAAGTTCGAGGGCAACTTGGCAGCGTATCACGCCAAGCTCGACGCCGACGCCCGCAGGCTGGCCTCGTACATCTTCGCCGCCTCGGCTGCCGTCGCCGCGGAGCGTCTCAGCGCCGAGTCGTCCATGGCGCTCTTGACCTTTCCTTTGGACGCGCGCATGGTGCCATCAACCCAGCCGCAGTCGTCCTCCACGAACGGCCAGAGCACAGCCCAGCTGTCTGTTGTGCTGACGAGCTGGGACGCCTTCGCCGTGGCACCGCCCTCCTCCCCAGCCGCACGCATTGACCCGTCCTTTGTCGTCCCAGCTGCCTACTTCTACGCCCTTGGCTACCAGCTGTCCCCGACTCTCACACCAGAGCTGCGGTACCGCGCGCTGGTGAACAGTACTCCCGAGTTCATCAAGACCACCGTGGTTGCGGCCGTGGGCGCGGGCATCCTGGGCCCGTCCGAGTCCACAGTGACCCAGGGTGACGATGGTGGCAACGTCAGCATCAACACGGCACAGGCCGTGCGGCGCCTGTGCGCACTACTCCCCAATGTCGTCAACATGCTCGGTGGGCTGACGGCCTCGGGAGCGTCGGCCAGCACCCAGCTGCCGCAACAGCCCGTGCTGGCCATGGCCCTGGTCTCGGGGCTCGTGGCCCTGTGGCGGGACTTTGACCGGCAGGACCAGGCGTTCTGGACGACTGATCGATTCAGCGACGACGCTTATCTCAATCTGATCCTGCAGATCGCCGCCTCGGGAGATCCTGGCCTCAAGCCAGCCATCGCGTCGGCGGCCCTGGTTCCTGCGAAGATACCACCAGCACCACCAGGGAGCCCTCCCACGGTGATCCGACATGCCTACGAATTGCACAGCATCACCACGGAGGCATGGAAGGATTTCTTTCTGTCCGGTACTAACCCACCATCCCTGCCGGCATGGACGGCACCGGGTGATGTCGTGAGCCGTGTCGAGGCTTTTGTTCGGCGGCTGCAGATGCTCTTCTTCGTGACCTGGCAGGCTCCCTCGTCACCGGGAGAAACGAGTGCTCATCTCATCCCCGTGCTGGACGCGGGGCCGGCCGAGTTTAACGGACTACCCAGCGATTCTGACACTGGCGCCGGTGATTTGCTCGCCGTTTTCCTTCAGTCCGCGACCGGATTCTCTTTTGAGGGCGACTGGGACGATGACCTGGTCCAAGTCGCCCTCCTAGCGGCATTTCCTGATCCCAGTCCTCCCAATTTGTCTTCCTTTGGCGACGATGGCACAGAGAAGCTGCGACGCTGGCTTGGGGTGACCTTAAAAACGCTCTGGACTCTCGTCCACGTAACCAATCTTTCCGATGCCGCCAGCGTCTCGACCTACCGTCGTTTTGCATACATGGAGGCCCTGTACAGCCGTGGTTTCGTATCAGCGGATGGCATCGTCGCGCTGTCCGTGACACAGTTCGCGGCAGGCTTGAGCGGGACCATCATCGAACCTGTGCATGTGCCCGCGATCCATGCCCTCGCTGTAGCGCTGCCACACAGCCTACCAAGCTCGGGGATCGAGCCGGGCTGGGGCTTTGTACCTGCCAACCCGGGCGGAGCCCAGACGCTGGTCAACTGTATTCCGGCGCCGACACTAGATCCCCTCGGCCGGGTGGCCTATCTTCACGAGATTCTGCGTACCCCTTTGAAGCTCCACGTGCAGCAGGATGGCATGGACATGACAGTGAAAGACTTGCTGTCGACACGCAGAGGCGACATTGGAAGCTTGTATGTCAGCAAGGCAAACCTGGAGACGACTATTCCCCTCGCGGACCTCGCCATCGAGAGCCTAGAGGCGGTGGGCGCCATGGTTGCCAACGACCAGACCGCTCCGCACGGTATCGTGCATCAGACGACTTCGCACCCAGCAGCGAAGCTCCTTGGTCTTTGTCTGTCGGAGGATGGACAAGGCCAAGACCAGGGACCTGGCCCTGCACATTGCTGCCCCCCCGGCCTCCCATCGCCCCCAGAGCTTCTCGCCGCTATTCCCGAGCACTCGCATCCGGCTATCCAGGTTGCGCGGCCTGGGGTCTATCACAGGCTCGAGAGCACCTTTACCTCGCCGGCCCTCCCATTCGCCCGCCATCTAGACATGACGCGCTCGTACCTTGCATGCGTCGGCACTAGGCGATTCGACACCATGCGGCGCTTCAGGCGCGACATTACCGAGTTTGCCCTCGATCCCTCAAGGGACCCTCCCGAGTGGCAGGCCCACGCGTGGCGGTTCCCAGTGCGGATCGAGATTGGGCTCGAGTACCTCGGGCTGTCGAAGCAAGAGTACGCAACGCTCTACACGTCCGACCTCGATGAAGAGCAAGTGGCTGGTCTCTATGGTCTGTCGCTATCCGAGTCCTCGTGGACTGACACGGCCCTCAAGCTGCATGGGTTCATGCGCGGACTCGACCTGACGTACTGCGACGTGCTGAAGCTGAAGGCGTCGGGCTATGTCGACTTTACGCTCGTTGTCGATGACCGCTCGAGGCTTCAGGCGTCTTCTATCCATCCCACACATGCACGCGCGGATACAAACCATGGTCATGGGGAAAGTGACTTCACCCGAGACGAGGGCGAGCGAGAGGCTGCTGCTGATACGGTGGGACCCCGGGACTGCCCACCTTGTTGCCTGGACATCTGGCGCATACGATTCCCCAACGTGAAAGCGAGGAAGAACACCGAGACTCATCTCAAACAGCTGGCCGTCTTTGTGCGTCTGTGGAGGACTCTCAACGCAGGGTGTCGCCACAAGCTCTCGTTCCGCCGGCTTGCGGACATCTGCACCGTCCTTCAGCTGTTTGGGGACAAGGAAATGATCAACCCTGCCTTCATTCGTCGTCTTGTCGCGTTGCTCATGTTGGCGGACTGCTTTGGACTCCCGTGGTCTGCTGAGAATGACGGGGAAGACTGTCTCGGACTTGCCCCCGACAGCAAGAAGGCGCCCGGCTCAGCGCGCACCGAGATCCTCGCTCTGTGGGATCCGAGTGTGCCCAGACCGCCCAACGCCTCGCCTGCATGGGACTGGGCCGTGTCTGCCATGATTGACGTCGTCCAGCGGTATGCCGAGAGGGAGTACCATGTCCATGCCGGGGCCTCCCATGGCGCCTCTCCCAAGATCCTCGCCGAAAACCTAAGCCACCTCGCCCGTTTGGCGGGATTCTCTCTCGATGCTGCGCAGGACCCGTCCTGGCATTTCGATCCCGTCTGCACGCTCCGATTTGCCGAGGTCCTCGCCAAGATCTGCGCCTCTCGTTTCACAGTTGGTGAGCTGCTCTTTCTCTTCACCGTCCAGGACCACGTGGACGGTGACGACCCCTTTCCAATAGCACCACAGCTCGAGACGGCCAGCCACCCGCTCAGCAGCCTTCCCGACGATGAGCTTGAGTTCAGCCTCGAGGCACTGCGGAAGACGCTCTTGCGTGCCGAAGACGACGAGGACGAGTGCGCCGCGCTGAGTGACGATGCCTGCGACGCGCTCGATTGGTCACGCGTCCAAGGCATCCTACATGACGCTGGATACACATCGTTCCCCACAATGTCTGGGGGGACGAACGATGCGCTGCAATCATTGGCGGAGCACTTCTTCCCCTCTGCAGTGGCACGAAGCGGAGGACGCAGTGTCGACGCTAGGAGCAGGCAGTGGACCGCTCCTCTGGACCCACTCGACACGTCTCCCGCCATGTGGGCGGCAGACCCGTGTGGGCCGCTGCACTATCGGACCGTGGCGTCTGAGGATTCGAGGCTGAACTCAAATTCGGGCTCCGGGGAATTGTATGTGGCCCTACCGCTACGGGACGATGCCGTGCTTGCCAAGCTGCGGGCAATACGACAGCTGCGCCCCGAGGAGGCCAGGGCGGTTCAAGAACTCTATTTTGCGCCGAGAGCAGCGCTCGCTCCGTTTGCCCTGCTGTTCCGGAACTTTGGTCGTGCCGTAGAGCATCTCGTGCAGGCGGACGAGTGCGCGCGGTGGAGGCTTTTCGCGCGCGAGGTGCTAGTCTTTGAGAGGCGGGTGCGCATCATCGCCCGGCACATCGCCGTGCATGTCCGGCATGTGACCAACAAGTCCAGACTCACATGCACTTGCGAGGCATGCGGCTCGCCCCCCATCGACACTTCACTGGCTATCACAGTGCTCAGACACCTCGTCGCCGATGAAAACCGAGCGCTCGCGCCGTGGGAGAATGACTCGGGCGCGCCGCCGGATCCGGAACAATTCCAATGGGGCACCTCGCCCCGCTTCTCCGGCGGTGCCCTGGCGGGGTTGCTCGGCATTGCCGGCACCGGCCTCGCCGGCGAGATCCACTCGGTCCCCGGGGCGAATGCGGGGCCCATGACGGACGCGGGGATGGCCGGCGCAAACAAGCGCTGGGAGGAAATTCGCGGTGGATTAAAGGCCTTTGGTCTAGTCCAAGACCGCTGGAACTGCCCAGTACCAACCGTCATCCCAGACCTTGAAACTCGTCCGTCGGGGCCAGAAACCCGCGAGGCCGTCAGCGTCCGCAACGGGTTTGCGTGGCGCAATCGCGACGGCTGCCTTCTCCAAGGTGCCGAGCCGTTTGACTGCGAATGGACTGGCACACTACTCGTGGAATGTTCTGGGTGCTATGTCTTTAGCGCAGGGGCCCCGTGTGACACCGCCGAGGGCCTTCCTGGCCGCGATGGATGTGACAGCGACCTGTGGAGCGTCACCCTGAAACGAGGGCAGAAGACGTACAAGCTGCTGCGCCACGACGGTGGTGAACACCAAGGGCGGTCAACCGGCCCAAGCTTCGTGTCCGATAGCGTGCAGCTACACCAAGGTGCCTACGCCATCCACGTCGTGTATAGACAGGTCGACCCGCACTTCTCGCAAGTGGCCGATGCTGTCACGCGCGAGCGGACGGGCTTCGAAGTACGCTACCAAGGGCCCCAGACCAAATCTCGCTGCATCCTCGTACCCCTGCGCAACCTCGTGATCGACAGCAAGCAGGGTCCAATGGGGTCGTTCCTCGGCAAGACGCGACAGAGGGAAAGCAGTGTCTCTAGATTTCTTGCCAACCAATACATACCCACCCTGTGCGATGCGCGTCGCACGTACCAGCGCGTCTTTAAGGCTGCCCTCCTCATCAGCCGCTTCAGTCTGTCCGCCGATGGGCCCAAAGACGGCTGGCACTGCGACGGACTGTCCGAGATGGAGTTTCTTCTGGGGAGTGGACACCAGTTCAAGGGCACCGCCTACTACCGACGGCCCGGGGAAGACAAGTACATCGCCCACCACGCGTACCTTGATTTCAACCTCTTGCCCGTGTCAGATCCTTACTTACCCCCAAGCGAGACCGTCGACTCGCGCGTGGAGCCCAGTGCCCAGCGGCAGGCGGCCTTGTTCGACACGTGGGAACGTCTCTTTGATTACACCCACCTCCGGGGGGAGGTCCGCCAGCTGCGCCGGGACCGAAAACCTGGCGGCCATCATCGCTATCCTTCTGACACGAGGGGTACAGTATGGGTCATGTTTTACGAGGCGGGCTCCCAGCATCAGCTGGGGCCCCCATCCAGTCATGACGACGCGGCGAATCTCGCACTCCGGCACTGCGGTGTGGATGTAGGACTCAAGGACACGCTGCTCAACTACGTGTACCTCAAACTCCCGCCGGCTGACAGCAATCAGAGGCCCGAGCCCGATATCCATCACATCCTCGCGGTACCAGACTTGCAGAATGAGCGCTGGACAACCCGACTCTGGCACGCGCGCGCCTGGGCCAAGAGACTGGCAGACAACTTCCAGACGGACGTGCTCGAGAGGGCCAGACCCGCGCTGTGGGCGGCGGACGACGACGCCCTCGGGCTCGGGACCGTTGTGCCGGAAGACACGGACACGAACGGCAACCCGGTGCCCTCGCAGTCGGGGGTCCACAACCTTATCCGGTTCGTGCAGTACAGTCTGCTGGGGATCGACCCGGATCGCCACGATGGAGTGGAATCTGCCTGCGGAGAAGTCAACCGGCTGTCTGCGTTGAAGACGCTGAACGACGGCCTCAGGCTGCGTGCTCGGGATGCCCTCGTCGCTTTCCTCTGTCAGATGGGGCGCGTCCCTCTGCCGTTTGGCGGCAGCGGCCATGAGACGGGCGACGACACGTCCACCACGCCCCGAGACCTGGTGGATCTGCTTCTTCTGGATGTGGAGGCACGCCTTGACGGGCGTACGACACGCATCCAGGACGGAATCGTAGCCGCTCAACGCCTGGTGACACGCCTGCGAATCGGTTTGGAGCCACAGCTGCGCATGACCCCTGGGGATCGAAGCGATCTTGATGAGGCTTGGGAGGGCCGGTTGGCGAGCTTCCAGGTCTGGTCGGCTCATACGAGGCGCACCTTGTACGCCGAGAACTGGGCGACGTGGGACGAGCTGCGCGTCTTGGAGACGACCGAGGCGGGCTGGTTCCTGACGCAGGCCCTGCGGCGGGATACGTCCACACTGGCTGCGCCAGGACGACCGGTATGGTTTTCGGCGGGTGTGAGTGGTGAAGGCGATGACGAAGAAGCGCCGGCAACGTCTGGTCTAGAAATGCAACAGGCAGACCGAGATCTGGCGACGCTTGGGAGGCACAAAGATTCGACACTGGAGAACCTGCTGCTGATGGCCACGCCCGACAACATCCCTCGGCCTACGCTGCTGTCCGTCGGGCTCAAGACCGTCTCCCAGGGAGCCACCCCAGCTTCGAACACACCCAATACCACGGACGAGCTGCGTATCGTGGCGACCAGGACATATGGTGTCCACCTGCCTTTCTGGATCGAGTCGGCCATTCGACTGGGCGCGAGGTTCCTCCGCGTCGCTGCCGCTGGTCGCCCTCCTGCCTTTGTCTACGACTCATCCAAGGTCCCCGTGGTAGACGAGTATTACTTCTGGCTGGCACCGGCGAACATCTACAGCCACGAGGACGCGCCACAGAACGCCGACATTGGCACCTCGTCAGCGGATGACCCGAGCGCGCCAGCATGGGCAGACCCAGATCCCGAGGCGGACGAGAAAAACACGCAGGACACAGGCTCATTAGGGATAACGACAAAAACAAAAACAGCGCAGCGTCTGACGTGGAAGCCGCGCCCGGCCACGGCCCTGTTCTGGGCTTGCGTGCACAACGGCTGCTTGCTCGCGCCCAGGAGATCAGCCACCTATGTCAAGGCAACACAGCTTCCCAACGACGGTCGGCTACACCTGGAGCTGGTAGGGAGATGCATGGACTCTCTGTTCTTCACGGTGGCTGGCGATGGATCTGATGATGATGGCCATCCACAAGCACAATCATCAACACCGCTCGGTACAGCGCTGGGATTCCGATACGACCTTGCTAGTGACGAAGCTGTCGCCCTCCCGCAGTCTATCCCCGACGTCTTTGCGCCGCACTCCTCGTGGTTCAGCTCGAAGGGGCCCTTCGCGTCCTTCCCGGCATATCCGCGATTCGTCTACTTTGCATCGGGCACGCCATTGGCTCCCACAACGGCCTTTGGGGCGGCGCTCGCTATGGCCGGCAAGCTCAGAGACAACGGCTGCTTCTCGGCTGCGTTGGACTGGTACCGCACAGCTTTTGATCCCCTGGCAAGGGACAACTCGTGGGCACTGTGCTCCCGATCCTCGGCCACAGGGGGCACCGTTATCCTCGACTCGCCCTGCTGTCCTGCCACGGCCGACTCGTCCTTGCAGCCGAAGCTCGTTCGCAGCCGCGCCGTACTCCTCGAGTACCTCGAGACAATGCTCCAGTGGTCCGATAATGTGGCAGACACGAGCACCGAGGCGGAGGCGGCGCAGCTTGCCCAGGTGTTGGCCGAGACCATGGCGCGCCTTTTGGGTCCGGCGCCCGCGACGGTCATTGCGCACCCTGACTCGCGCATCGAGCAGAATATGAGCGTGTCCAGCTTCTTCTCGGCTGCATCGCCTCTGAACCCGCGCCTGCTGCGCCTTTATGACCAGGTTACAGACCGGCTGTCCACCCTGAACCGGCGCCAGAACTCAGGTCACGCCACGCCGGCGGCCCTCTCATGCCTCTCCTTCAACTGCCCGCCGTCACCGTCCTCCCTGCAGGGTGAGATGTCGGGTGCATCTCAGCCCTACCGGTTCACTGCTGTGTTTCCCAAGGCAGTCGAGCTCACCGGGCTGGTGCGAGGGCTGGCCAGCTCTCTCATCTCGGCTTACGAGCGAGGAGACGGCGCGTACATCAGCGCGCTACGGGCCTCGCACGAGCGTACGCTGCTCGAGCTCGGCATCAGCACAGCACAGCAGCAGTGGCGGGCCGCCGACTGGGAGGTGGACGCGCTGCAGCAGGCCATGAAGGCGGCGCTCGCCAGACGGCGCTACTACGTCGCCTTACGGGACGGGGGCCTGATGCCAGGCGAGGAGTCACACGTGACGGGGACGGAGACGGCCATGAGCTCCAGTACGGCTGCCAACGTCTCCGAGGGTCTGGGCCAAGTCTTCAGCCTGATTCCGGACCTGGCCACGGGCGTGGCCGGCATGGGTCCGCTGGTCAAGACGGAGCTGCCCATCGGCACCAAGATGGCGGCCGCGACGGGGGCCGTGGCCCGCGTGCTCAACACGGTCGCTTCCATCTCCACCTCCCAGGCTGGCCTCTCTCTGACCCGGGCGGGCTGGGACAGACGGCTGTTTGAGTGGAGGCATCAGGCTGAGTTGGCCCAGGTCGAGATAGCCCAGGTCAAGAGGCAACGGTTGGCGGCCGAGAGGCGGCGAGCGTCGGCGCTCCGCGAGCTCAATGCCCACGAGCGCCAGCGCGAACATGCTGAAGAGGTCATGGCCTTTGAGCGAGATCGACACTCGCGCCACGCACTCCACCTCTTCCTACAGCGCGAGACGGCCGCCCTGCTGCGTGCCACCTTTTCCCTGGCGCTGCGTACCGCAAGGGAAGCCCATGCCGCGTTCCTCTTCGAACGAGTGCCCCCCGGGACGGCCTCACAGCCGTTCCCTACCGGTGCCGACCTCTGGGACGACACCGGCGGCGGCGGCGGCGGCCGCCGTAATAGTGCCGTGCATGCGGGTCTCATGGCTGGGGAGCGCTTGGATCTGGCCCTGCGCAGGCTTGAGCACAGCTACATGGCTCTCAATGGCCGGGAGCTCGAGTTGTCCAAGCGCATCTCCCTCCGGGAGAGGTTCCCACGCGCGTTTCTCGCCCTGCGACAGCGTGGGACCTGCGAGATCGGGCTGCCCGAGTCCATCTTTGACGCGGACTACCCGGGCCACTACCTACGACGACTACGCAGTGTGACCGTCAGTGTCCCCTGTGTGGCGGGCCCCTACACCGGCGTGCACTGCGAGCTGCGTCTACTGGGCAGTAGTGTCCGCACTGAGCCTCTGGTGCCGCCTCGGGCGGCGTCGTGCAGCAGCTGCGGATGCTGCGGACGAGGGTCTGGTCAAGGAGAGAAGGAGAGCCGTGGTTCCCCGATGAGCGAGACGGATCCATATGTCGTACACCGCTATACGTCCTCCTCCGCCGTGGCCACGTCCCACGGCCAAGACGACTCAGGCCTCTTTGAGCTATCGTTCCGCGACGAGCGCTACCTCCCCTTTGAGTACGAGGGCGCCATGTCCCGCTGGTGCATCACGCTGCCTCGCCGATATAACCTCTTTGATTTCAGCTCCCTCTCGGACGTGGTTCTCAGTCTCAACTACACGGCGCGGGACGGTGGGCCGATACTGAGGAGACTCGCCCTGGACCGGCTTTCTGGGTGCGTCGCCGCCCACCTGCACGGCGGTGATGGGCACGGGTCTTGCGGCAGCAGCAATGCCCTCTGGCGCGGCTTCGAGATCAGGCGGGAGTTCTCAGACCTGTGGCCGCCATTCGCACGGAGTAGCGACGCCGGGTGCGAAGAGTGCCGCTGCGCTTCTTTACCTAGGTGTCCTCACACGTTTGATGTGCCTCTCCGTCTGCGTCGGGGCATGTTCCCATTCTTCCCTGGCCGGAAGTCGGTGCGCATCACTACCCTCTGCGTCTCCGTCTCCCTGCGCCGCCCATGCCAGAACTCCCTGGACATCGCCTGCCACTGCACGGGCAAGAGATGCCCGAGGAGACACTTCCCCGTGGTATTCGTGCCCCCGGGAAAGGAACACTGCCGCGAGAAATGGCGCGCCGTCGAGTGCGTGGAGCAGCAGTTGGTCACTGCCGACATCGAGGAGCCATGGGCCAATGCGGGCGGGGAGTACGATGACGTCTTCTCCTGCGAAATTGGTGACCTCAACCTGGGCCCGGTCTCTGAGGAGAGGGGATTCGAATACCGGTCCCGCGATAACGACCAGCAGACCTACGGTCTTCTCCGCTTTCCACGCCGCATGAGAGAGGTTGTCGATGCCTGGCTGCTCTGCGGCTACGAGGTCGTGGACTGTTGCGGAGAGGGCAGCAGAAAGAAGGGGGCGGGCAATATCTTTGACGGCAAAGGACAAGGTGGCAGACGACCGACGAGAAAGTATTTTGCCGAGGATAGCGAGGGGAGTCGACTCTAGCTCCCTGTGAGCGGAGGCTGGAGAGACACGGCAGACCTTTTTCAGGGATACATCTTGCCATTCGGCCAATCAGTATGAATACGTTCTGGAACATCAAACTTTAGCTTCGATATGCGGCGGGCAAAACCAATGACATGGAGACTATGCAGGAATTCCGAGGAAATTCACGGTGAGTTACTCAGACCACGACGTGTATCAGTAATGATGGGGATGGACAAAACCAATGTTAAAGTAACCAAGAGAATGAATCGATCGTGATCAACAAGAGTAAATAAAGAAGCCGGGACCAACTGCAACACTCTCGAATAACAGTGTCCACCACGAAACTGACAAGATAGTTTGGTTTGTATGGGCAATCGGGCCTTGACCCTGGCTTCGTCAACTCAACCTCTGGTCGTGATCCGGCACCGAAAGATAGATCCTTTTCCGCGAATATGATTGGTACATGAGATGCGGTCTGGACTGGAGCAGCCGTGTGAGTCTTCGCCCAAGTCTTGACCCTATATGGCATTAGTCGCGTGAGTAAAGAAAGTCTTGCATGAGATGCTCATACCGAGGAGCTATGACCTACCCTGTTGTTTTGAGGTGAAGGCTGGAGATGCTGGTGGTAGAGCCGGGGATCTGAGATCGGGTTGCAGACGGGTGTGTAACATTCAGGAATATCGAGGCTGCGATCCCGTGGATTGCTGCAGGAAAACACTGCTGGCTCGCAGGTTGGAGTCAACATTTCTCACTAGAGACAAAGCTCACGCTGGTGAGACAGTTCTATGAAGATGATGATGAACAACAGATCAGAAGAGAAGGAAGATGATGAATTCTCTATCTGAAGAACATGCTGATGCTAAGAAAAGAAGGAAGAACGCGATAGCGCGAAGATGCTGCCTTTGAGGGCAGCTGTGGGCCTGATGTGTGGCTAACTAATCAAGGCAAACCAGCCTAACAAACAAAAAATACACCATCCTCCTACATCTCCATCACGATGTTGCCAAACTCGGGGGTCTGGACGACTTTCCGTCTCTCGGGCGGGGTATTCCCTGGCCCGACACAAACGTGGAGGTGTCGGAGCCGATGGAGAAATACCTACGGCTACGAGCCATCGGCTTTAGTGACCCCGACACAGACTCGCCCACGTCAGATACCGCATTTAGTGCACTGGCAAAGGCATTGCAATCTCTCCCGCATACCACCGTAGACGACGAGGCAGTTCTCAGCGCGCGCATAGAGATCAACTCCAACAAAATTTGCAAAAGAGAGAGTACGATATCAGGCCACACGAATTCAGGCTCTTGATAGAGTGTCCTAGTTTACTACATGAGGATATGCGGGGATATATCTCCGCATCATCCCTCTACAGCTCCACGACACCTCTATCACGAGCGCTAATCTAATCACAGCGTTCGGAATAAGAGACGAGACACTCTGCGAGAGCTATATCCACAATCCCATGAGCTTGACGCTGCAAATGCTCGTCGAGGAAGATGAAGCAGTGTCGCGCCCGATCAAGGACGCAATGCTCGCTGCGAGCCTTGAGTACATTGGAGGGATCGTGGAGAAGGATTGTCATCTGCAAACGTACCAATGGCGACTTATAATGATTGCGAATATTGTTTCCCACGGTCTCAGCTTACGAAAGGTACAGCCAGGTACTGGGAGTACAGTCAAGGCAATGATGTCTGCAATGAAGACGAGGCGCGGAAGCGTGTATTTCTCGCTGTTCTCGCCACGATCTTCCCTTCGTGAGGGACCTACAGGCAAGACCGATCCTCCGCCAAATTAAGATATCCGATTGGGCGTCTACTTTACTTATTCTTCCACGTGTGAGGTGTCCGGGCCGTAGTCTGCTGTATCCTAGGGACACGTGTATTTTGACGTTCTGTGTTGAAACAGGCCATTTATTCTCGAAAGACAACGACCATCCCTGGAGGCACTGATGAGCACACTTGATTTGCCGTTGACCGTCGTTCTTTACGTATGGTTCAGATTCGGCCCGTAAGTGAGACGCGATCTTGCGATTAATTACATCCACAGAGGAGCCACCCACAAAGCCTGGGGGGCTAGGGTTCAGCCATAGAGTGTCTAGGTATGTGCCAGATCGGGCAAGTGGGGCAGTTGGACACCTCCGCCTCAGCAGGAAAGTGGGCCAATGACGGGGAAGGTATCCGTGCGCTGAGTATCCGCAGCAAAGTCGCCGAGGCGAATGGAAATAGAATCTTCTTCTCGAACGATTCTTCTATTTTTGGGTCAAAAAGGCTGATAGTAAGCTATGGCTTGTCGAAGGGGAAAAATAACGAATAACGTATCCGGTGTCACGCGTTGCGAAGGGTGTTCAACTACCTTGAATAATGCTGAGCGCGATAGCTATTTATGCGCTCTGTGTGGGTGGTCTGTGAGCTCCGTAGCCCAGCCCTCGTTCCTATCAGAGTTCCCTTTCAACCTTCCATCACGCGCACATACCTTCCACCTTTACTTTCAGTCGAGCCTAGCGCCCTTGTTAGAGGTCCGCCCACACCCGGCGTGTCATATCTTAGACCACGCCTAGGTCATCAAAGTCGTCTTTCTATCGTATAATGTGAACATGGTCGTGCCTGTACAGAAAGCCGGGTTTCGGCGCGAGAACAGAGTTCAGATCCTGGCAGCGTATATCCAGAAAATTGTTACGCTATCCCGCATTTCCTTCTGGATCGACGGACAAAGCTATCTTCGAAATTTCAACGACCAACTAGCAGCCTGCTCCTGCACCAGATAAATCAGCACGTCCACCACGTAAGGCTCCTTCCACGCCGCCACCGGGTTCATCGACAATTTCTTCTGCTTCCTCTCCTCCGGCGGAGCAGTATGCCACCGTCTGTCCACGTATCTGACCCTCGGCCTAGATATAGTGTCAAAGTTGATATACGCCATGCACTGTCCCCAATATCCTCTCCCGAAGAGCCCGTCAGTTCGCAACTTGTCAACACACTGCCCGCCGAATTGAAACGCCACTTCGAGTCAAGGGCATTATGTGCCTCTTCACGGGTTGGAGAAGTGAGCACAATGGGGCGCCGACGTAACACGGGGCTCGCCTGAGCTCTGCAGCAAACGCTCTATGGGACAGACACCAGATCGAGGGCCCTTGTGAAAACTGTCTTCGCTGCCCATTCGAGCCACCAAGACGTGAACAAAAGAGTAACGAGGTCAAGCGATGGAAGAAGCAGCACAAAGAGCAATGGAAGGAACACGTCCATAAAGACCTCGATTGCGAGGTAGACGAGTACCCTTTCATAAGGTTCCACGGCGCACCTAACGATAAAAACCCTTCGCAGCTGGTCCGCTAGTAAGCAACAGATTCCTGCTCTTGGTACAACTGTAGGCAACACTAGTAAGCCTAGTATTCCCAGAGTCAACAATGAGCGCGGTGGAAGAATTATCTGGGGCAAATGTCAAACAAAAAAGGCAATACCACGAAACTGAAAAGATGGTAGATAAGGACAAGCTTACCTGCACAAAGGAGCTCATTACCTCTGTAACACAAGTCATTGTCACAGTGGAGTTCAAAGGTGTGGACCCTGCGTGGGACAAGGAGATAGGAGATGACTATCTCAGCGAGAATCCCTGCACGCCAATCTTCCCAAGAGCTCCTGGAGAGTTCACTGATGGTGGTTATGCGCTATTGACCGCGGATCCGTGGTATGGCGGCCGAGTCCCTCAGTACGATTACAGATATACCGTACCAGATACTCTTCTCGGACACTGGGAACGCGACGACGGCGGCTATGTTGTCTTTGAGGATTAAGCCAATATCAACGATGGGGACGGGACGTACCTCCTCCTCGTCGAGCCAGGTTCGGTCGTGGTTGAAGAGCGTAATAGCTCGAGACTGGCGACTGATGAAGAGCTATTGGAACTAGGCATTGTCGAGTGCGACAGCCCGGGTGTGCTCAGGAGTATGCTGAGGCTGGTCTGAATGAAAAATGGGAGTCGGTGCCTGCTCAAGTCGCGGCCAGTGCTACCCAGTCGCTTAGCCCCCCGAAGACAGCGAAGCAGGGCCTTGACCAAAACCAAAACCTTGCGCCACATGCCGCTGCGACCGCTCTTGCTGGCCTTGATACTCACGAGTCGCCAAAGACCAGTTCTACTGCGGATACGTTTCCCGCTGCTGCTGTCACGGGTCATCCAACAAACAGAAAAAGGAGGCACGGACATGCCAGGAGGCACCAAGGACAATATTAAGACTATCATCGCGAAGAAACACTAGATAGTCAAATAAGCCCAAGTTTTTTGACCACTTCTTGTGTCGCCTGCAGCATCAGCTCTTCACTATAATCAACTTCCTCATCTTTAACTTCTAGATTGCGGGCTTTATTGCGAGCCTCCTGTTCATCCATAAGCTTTTCGTCCATGTTCATAGCCTCGTCTTCGACTTGATAGACCGCCTTTGCCCAAGCATCCCTTCGAAATTCATGAGGATAGCCAAAGTGACGACGAAGAATATTACTTATGATAAATGTTGATGGTTCCTGAGATATTTCAGTACTAATGTAAGCTTCCGGTACTCGACGCACTTACATTATAAATACCAATTTCATCGTCTGAACGAAACGGATATATTTCTAGAGATAATAAATCCTCGTAGTAGGTTCGCAAAACGCTTGGGGCATGGTACCCAGCATGATTACGGTAGTGGTCTTGGTGCTCTGGGACCTCTAAAGGTTCATCAAGTAGTGCGACCGGCAGCTCCCACAAGTCTGTCATCAAGCGAATACTATCTTTCATTTTGATTAATCATAATCAACAACAAATTATAGGGAGACTTACTGGCTTCTGTGTCTAGAATAATCTGCTGACCCTTTCCAGAGGGGAAAGCAAGAGCAACATCTGTCGGTCGCATGTAGTCTAGATCGGGCGAATCCGGAAAGGCTGCTGAAGGGGATCTTGTGAACCAACTCAGGTTATTCGGGTCCCGTGCCTCACGCGCCTGCCTGTTGTCGCAGTAATCAATCATCTTGGCCAATGGATACCAA